ATCTATCTATCTATCTATCTATCTATCTATCTATCTATCTATCTATCTATCTATCTATCTATCTATCTATCTATCTATCTATCTATCACATTTTTTACTTGTAATTTAGTAAAACTACTCCTCCAAAAGCTTGTTTCCTTTTATGCTTTTTTTTTACCCTCATGTTTTTTTCCATGTCCCATCGTAACTGATTATAAATTGTTCATATTAAAGTAAATTCAAATATCAGCCAAACCTAACCTGAGTAAACACGAACAGCTGTTTTATAATGATGATGTCATCTATGAAGGGGAAATGCTATTCAAATTTAGAAAATGTGTTACAGAAAAACAATCATTCATACATTGAAACATAGTGACAGTAGTGTGATGTCCAAGAACTGATTTGCCGCTTAAAGGCCTCAACAAGTTGCTTTACCCCTTAATTCTCCACAAAGTCCGGATCTTACTTTGTTGAACGTAAGTAGAATAGTTTTAAATGGGCTATTGATGGTTAGATAGTCTAATGTGGCTTATTATCACAGTTACACTGAGAGTAGTGGGTTGAAATTCTTCCACAGTGTTTTAAAGGAAGGATTGCCAGTTTTTAGAAATGCTTGAAAGCTGTTGCAGCTAAATGTTGCACAGGTTATTGGGTCTGAAAGGTGGCTGACTACTTTTCCACATGGATATCGGCAATAAAAGACACCTTAATGACTAGATCATTTGACCTCATAAAAAACATTGCTTAACCATTTGTTTCACTAAGTCTGGAAATTAAATGAAAAAGTAAGATGTTTTCGAGCTGCAATATACTTTCAAAATATCAATGATTTTCTTAAGAAATGTTGTGTCTATTTATGATCGGTTATAATTTTGTCCCTATTCATCTTAAACCTTTTCATTAAGTGATGAGAAGGAAATTGAATTAAAGTATAATTCCCTATCTTCCTGTTCAGGTATACACGTTATATACTCAAAATTTATGAAATGGGAGTTAACACACTCGTGCTGACACTCTGCCTACACTCCCATTTTATCTATAACCTGTATTATTGTCTAAGAGCATTTATTGCAAATGAAACCACTAGTCATGACTAAAGTTTAAATTGGAATTTAAGTTCAATATATATAAACAAATTTAAAGTATAAAAACATCTATCTTGACAAGAATTGAGATCATTTTAAAAAGCTGAGAGACTTCTCATTCTACCTTTCTTTTGACATGCTTTTCTTCTTTTCTTTCTCCCGTATTTTAAGCCTACTATATGTAATCCACATCCTAACTTTTTTCCAATTTATTAATAGATTACATAAACCTGAAGCAGAAACACAGAGCACTGCAAAAACAATAAAAGATTAGTAAAATATCTTAATATGAGTTTTTACTTATAATAAGTGTATTTATCCATGATTTAAGTAGCTAAATAAGATGATCTGCTGATGAAAAGAGTATTTTTCAATTTTAACTATTTTAAGTAGATATTATGGACTCGAAATAAGAGATTGTGGTTGTTTTTTCTTATTTTTAATGCAAACTGCCTGCGTCCCACTTACCTGCTCAATTCAAGAAAAAAATGCACTTATTTGAAGAAAAATGTACCTACTTTAAATTTTGCTAATTTTGCCGTGTGTTTTAATCAGGAGGCTAATGTCAGTAGTTTTACATGAAAGCTGGTATACTCAGACATCATTTTTATTGCTGATATCAGACCGATTTCTAGTATCGACATTAAATCAGGACATTCCTAAAATATATATAGTGATTACACTAATTCATTGTGATGCATAAATGGGTGAATAGTAGTATTTTTTGGTGCAGGTTGTTGTAGAAGTATTCTGTAAAATGTTTTCTATGTCGTCAATGTAGCCCTTTGTACTCATGTTTCACTTACAGTAGATGCAATGAAAGGTTGTCTGTCCTTTGTGCGTGTGTGAATGTGTGTGTTTCAGGTGGATGTGTGGATGTATGAGAAGGTCAGACCATAGGAGAAACCTTTTCATGTCTGTCTGTTTGGGAGCATAGCATGTTAAACATTGTGCTGCTCATATGAGAACCATACACTTTGCTGTGTGCGCTCGTTAAGATCTGACCGTCTCCTGACTTCAGTTGGGCTGCTTGAAAGTGACTTTCTGAAACCATGAGTGGTGAGTAGTTCATGGGCACCTTAAATTATACCGGGCTCTCTATGAGAAATATCTATCTAAAGCTTTATGCTCAATGTTAGAAATCAATTATAGAAACTGATATATTTGTACAGGGGGCATGTACCTGTTTCATTTTAAGGAACCATTAGTGTTTCCTTGTTGAAGCTTAAATTGAAGTTATATTTGTATCATACAGGACATATAGGCAGTTTGAAAGTATAGTTTTGTGTATTTTTTAAATTGCTGGTCTGATTTTCCTTTTCTGGGTTTAAAATATGCTTCACCTTCCAGCATCGATCCAATCACTTATTTTTGAATGTTCTCATATGCAGTGTTTTCCCATATCTCTAAGTTCAGTTGTTTGTATTGTGACGTAGATTATCTTGTCTTGTCTTGTTGAAGACCCTACAGATATGCACTTGGGTTATGTTTTAGTGTATTCTGGCTTTTTGGTCATCTCAGTTTTCAGATTTTATTTTACTGTTATTAGCTATTCATCTACTTGGCTAAATGATATTGCAATCTTTTGATTGAAACAGGTTTGTTTTAAAGCTAGCCCAAGGCACTCTCTGTAAAACAGTTTTCATTAAAACTACACTGTTACAGGCTTTGACAAGATTATGGTCTAAGCAAAATGGTTGTGAATCTATAGAGGCTTTAAATTTCATAATGTCTGACTGACTTTAAGCTGAAGGGAACTAATTCCTTTAACCTTTCTTGATCTGGATCAACATAAACTTGATATATTGTTCCTTTAAAGAGAAGAAACAGTCTGATTAGAGTGATGTATACACATGGTTTTAAAGCATAGACTACTCTTTGTTGGTAGATTTTTGTTTTTGTTTTTAAATAAATGATAATAATAAAAAGCATTTGAATAGAAACAAATACCAATTAATAAATTGGCATTTATTGCCATTTTATTTAAGCCTACTACTCTACACACAAATAAAGCCAAGATACCTTTTGTTACCAATGTATTATCCATTATTATTATTATCCATTTTGGTTGTTATGATTAATTGTTAATTTTATTTGTTTATATATTATTTCGATAGGATTTAAGTAATTTTGAGTTTTTTAATTGATTCTTGTTATGATTCCTGCTTTGGCTCTCTAACTGCTATAAAATATGACACAATATGACACTTAGTTAAAACAACAAATATGAAAGGATTTTGAAAAGATATTAGCCGAATTTTAGGGGGCCATTTAAATACAGAACAGTTCACTACGGGTGTACTAAACTTCAAAGATTCTAGATAAGGGACGCTAAAATGTACAGACATTTTATTTGTGCATGTGTGCAACACATCAGCATATTGTGTTTTACTGGCAGTTTGAGAGTGGCATATAAGGTCATAAGACATTAGAGGTAAAAATGACAATGATTATTTATAAAATACTATTTATAATGCTAAATACCATTTACAGTGCTCTTGTCATAGTTATTTTAAAGTGCCATGAACATTAAAAATGGTACAATCATAAAAATAACAAAAGTTAAAGCTAAATATATAAAGGAAAGTACCAAATGGATTGTTCTCTTCACAAGCTCTGCTATGTTGCGAGTGAAAATCACCCTGCTTTTTCTTTAAAGGTCTGGTCTGCAAGATTGCACCTTTTTTTAAGCAGCTTAAACCTTGTGAAAACCAGGCCTCTTTGTGTCATATCCTCAAAGGCTTGCATGTATAAAAACATGCACAAGCTCTATGGTGTTTGAAAAGCTGATCTACTAACTACCAAATTGAATAGCCGTGTGTAAAATCAGTGAAACATCAGTCGCAACAATTTAAATGTATTTGCCTTTATAAGTATCTGAAACATATGCTCATGACAAAATGTGCATTATTTAATATTTTCTCTTTGATTTCAGTTTCTGCTCTTTGCAAATATAAACCTACTGCTCTCAGTCACATGGACTAGTTAAAACAAACAGCATTCTCACCTTACAATTAGATGCAGAAATTGGAAGAGGAAATAGGCTGCTAGCGGCTCTGCAGAGTAAAGCAGAAATACAACTAACAAGAGCTAAGCCAAACTTTCACTTATGCTTCATTTGGCTTTACAGTCTAGCTTTAAACAGACAGACAGATAGATTGGTTGATTTGAACCAGTGTAAAATGCTGATATGAAAAATTTGAAATGACTGCAGGAACTTCACTGAAGTGAAGGCATGATTTGGCAGTAGTTAGATAAACAGATGTCTCAGACGTCACGGAGTTAAAGCGCGGGAAGTCTAGTCTGTTTGCAGAGGGTGTAGTTAAAGAGGAAGAGGTTTGGAAGCTAAATAGGAAGAAGCAATACGAGCAGCCACGTGTTTCTACTTCCATAAAGATAAAGACAAACACGGTAAGACTTAAAAGAGCTCTATTATTTCACATTGTTCTGTGACAGCTTTTTAATTCAGGACATTTAAAAAAGAACCCTTACTTTTTTTTTTTTTTAGCTTTATCTCACTTTAGTGATAATTTGGGAACCTAGTGATCTCAATGTAGGTAAAGGCAAAACTTAAAAAAAAAAAAAAAAAAAACTGCCCATAATTAAAAAAAGGATCATAAATCATAATGGATTTTATTTCACAGATAAAATAAGGTTGTTAATATTAAATATAAATAGACCTGTAACATGTTCTGTATTGTATACAACTAAAGAGATGTACTTTCATAGTTAGAGAACAGATGAATAGAAAAACGGTTTGCCAAAGACTTTGTGTTTCACTTTGCTGCTTGCACAATCTTCTCAAACAGAGGACTGAAAAATAGCCTAATGGTTACTTTCTGCATATAAAGGAAATTTGTAATTATTGTATAATTACTTCCATTTGATTTTTGACATTTTGGTTAGAACTGATTGAAATGAGGTTTTGTGGAGTCTTTTGACAAAACATAAAATAATTTTAATTAACAAGAGAACAATCATAAAATGCCTCCTGAGATGTATAACATGTATATCTGAGACTGAACATAGAGGAGGGACAAATATTCCTTATTTAACTTCTTTCAGTTTCACACGAGACCTGCCTCCTAGACCAGGTGTTGGAGCTTATTATGAATGAGAAGCCACCCAACAGTGCAAGTCTTTTCTTAAACGAGGACACAGAAAAACCACCTTCACCGGTCAAAGCTGACCTTAGGAGACGCCTTTGCCGAGCCATGGAGAGGAAAGCGAGCAGCATGAAGCAGAGGATTGGCTCCATTGGCAGAAAAAGCGTCAAAGGTTTCCTCAGGAGGAACCTGTTTGTTTTGTTCACCATCGCTGCTGTAGCTCTGGGTCAGTGGAGATTTAACAACATATTCTCAGTGAATGTTTGTATTACTTGGATCTATTTTACTTTATTTGATATTTTTTGTGTGTGTGTGTGTTCAGGTGTAATCCTAGGCTTCGCTCTGCGCCCACACAACCTGTCCATGAGGGAAATAAAATACTTTTCCTTTCCTGGGGAGCTGCTGATGAGAATGCTGAAGATGCTGGTGCTGCCTCTGATTGTTTCCAGTCTGGTCACAGGTTGGCATCTAATTAATACTCAGAAACAACCTATTTCATATTTTAATCATTTAAATGGTTTTAATATTTTAGATTATTTTTAGGGGGTGTGGATAAAAATTGATTTGGTGATATATCGTGATATATTATTGATTTTTCAGTTTCTAATATCAAATTTATAAAAAAAACAATAAATTTTACCTAAAATAACAAGGGAAAATAGCTTACCTTCGCAGCGCCATATCTGTAGTTGAGGCAGTCACAGTGGAAGATGTGGATTGACTCAAACCCCAAACAACATAAATACCAAAATAACTTAATGATCAATATCTTCTGATAAGCATGTACAGTACTTGTTTTTTCATCTATACATTTAATTTTGACAGCTGGGAAAAATACAGCAATTAATAGTAATATTGTAATTTTGTGATATCGTATTGTTACCCAAGTATTGTGACAGATATCGTATCAAAACACACATGCCAATACTCAGCCTTCCTTTTTTTGTTGAATGTATTCTATTCAGAAATTAGGAAAACAAAGATTATTTCCTCAGTATTTGGTATTTTTTTTTAAGTTTAAAGATCCAGCAAACAAATAACTATCTCATGTCACAGGTATCTCCTCATTGGACAGAAAGGCATCAGGCAAAATGGGTGTACGCGCGGTGGTCTACTACATGGTGACCACACTGATCGCAGTGTTTATTGGTATCGTGATTGTGATGATCATCCGGCCGGGCAGAGGCAGCAGGGACAGTCCAGTGGTGAAAAATGGAAATATTGAACCGATTCAAACTACAGATGCTTTTCTGGACCTCATCAGGTAAGGCCTTGGAGGTTTCGAGAGAGCAATGTTTTTGCCAAAGATATGAAATGTAATGTTATTTGAAGCGTTCTGATAAATCTAAACCTTTTTCTGATCTTAAAAGGAGAAAACTTGGTAAATATTGTTTTTTGTATTGACTGTAAACTAAAACATAAAAACCTATTTGTTAAAATAAATTTAATTCAATTCAACAATACCTTATAATTAAGCAAACAGAAAAAACAGGAAAATAGACTGGGTGCAAGAGTTTTGTATATTCTTAAACTTATGCTTTAATGTTGCTCTCTGGTTGGAGTCTATCTGCATCTTGTTTTTACTATATTTCCATCTCCACCTTATGACTTAGAAATAGACAAACTTTATGAAATTTCGATGCATACAATTTTTTCAACAGTGAATGAGCAGCTTAGCCGTGAAATGAACATTTCCATTTATAAAGTTCCGCAGAGATCAGAATGTAAACAGTGTAGGAGAAAAGGAAAACCAGTTTAAAGACATGATGGAAAACGCATTAATAAAAAAAACTAATAAATGTGATGCAAAATTCAGTGGAACATTGAGTTGTGCTCTATTAAAAGAGATTATAAAAAAAGCAATGTAGTGCAAATATGATGTTTACAAGTGTGATGCAGATTGCTTGATTAGAGTTTCTGATGGCAGCGGGGAAAAAGCTGTTACAGAAATTGCCTGACATGCATTGAATGCTGCAAAACCTCTTCCTGATGATGTTACGGGCTCGGGACACGCAGCGCTGGAATGAAATCTTTTATGGAGGGAAGAGGAGCCCGATGATCCTCTCTGCTGTCCTTTTGAAACATGTGGGCCAGTGGTTTACTATCCTGCTGCTAAAGAAAAACCCCGTTACTAAAAACGTTTAAACACTTCTTCAACAAAGTATCAGTGTAGTTTAGTTTGCTTTCCTTTGAAATGTTGAAATAAAAAAATGTCACTCTAAAAGTTTATTGTTTCTTTTATGACAGGAAATACACATTTTAACAGGAATCTGAACACTGCTTACATCAAATGTGCTACATAAGGTTATTACAAAGTCATTTGTGAAATTAAGTTTCAACAATGTATTTTTCACCCATCTGGAGTTTTTTTTCTTTCCATCTAGGAACATGTTTCCCCCCAACCTAGTAGAAGCATGCTTCACTCAGGTAAATCTATTTTTTTCCTCTTGGAATGTATGGTCATTTTCATACTGAAGTATTAGTATCTCTTTGATAACTTGAAATATGGGTTTCTCTGCAGCATAAAACAGTGTATAAGAAGATCATTCACACAAGGAATGTGACAGTGACTCTAAACCTCACCAACATTCTCAACATAACAGACTCTCACCTGAATGAAAACCTCAGCAGGGTGCTCCACACTATACAGGTCAATTCAAATTTAGGACTGTTTGGAAGCTTAAAGTCGTTCTTCTGTGTTATAAACTACTATTTCTGTTGTGTTCTGTAGGAGACAGTGGAGGAAACAGTCCCTGTGTCCGGGTCCTCAGCCGGCGTGAATGCCCTGGGTCTGGTTGTCTTCTCCATATGCTTTGGCCTGGTCATTGGCAACATGAAAGATCAGGGACAGGCTCTTAAAGAGTTTTTTGACTGTTTAAATGAGGCAATAATGAGGCTGGTTGCCATTATTATTTGGTAAATAAAAGCACATTTGCTGCTCTTAATGTCAAATTTGTTTTCTGACTTAAATAAAAAAATGTTACCTGTAATGGAAAAACATATGTAGAAAAATTTACAATCTACAGCTTTTTTAATGTGTGTTTACCCCAGTTAGCAATATTTGTGTCTGAACGATCTCCCTTTGCAGGTATGCTCCTGTTGGAATCCTGTTTTTGATCGCTGGAAAAATAGTGGAGATGAAGAATCTGGCAGAGGTGGGCGGTCAGCTGGGGATGTACACAGTATCTGTCATTGTGGGTCTTCTAATCCATGGACTATTTGTCCTGCCGCTGCTCTACTTTGTGGTTACCAGAAGAAACCCTTACAGTTTCATTGGCGGCCTGCTCCAGGCCCTGATCACTGCTTTAGGGACATCCTCTAGGTGAGTTACAATGTGTTCCTTAGTGTTATGATTTCTCTTTTGCGTCCCACATCCTATTGATGTAGAATGCAATTCATATTTATTCATGCAGTCACAAAACTGCTCATCTCCTTTGCTAATTTATTGAAGACTTTTTAACTCCCAGAACACTCTGAGGTGTAAATAAGATCGCAGAAACGGATCCCTGATAGTATATTGCATTCATGTTTGATACATGGGTGAAATGTAGCCAAAATTAGAATGATTGGTTAGAAAAAGGCTTCTAACCAATCTTTCAAAACATTCAAACGTCTTTAAACTTGGAAACAAAGTCCATCCATTCATATGTTTTTCCCAAGCGGAGTCACAAGGGTTGCTGGTGCCTATCTCCAACTGTCTATGGGCGAGATACAGGGTACACCCTGGACAGGTCGCCTGTCTATCGCAGGGCAACACAAAGACAAACAGGACAAACAACCATTCACTAAGGATGAGTTAGAGAAGCCAACTAACCTAATAGTCATGTTTTTGGAATGTAGGAGGTAGCTGGAGTACCCGGAGAAAACCCACGCATGCTCAGGGAGAACATGAGAACATGCAAACTCCATGCTGTAAGGCAGCAGTGCTACCCACTGCACCGCCTGAAAGTCCAGTAGACTGCTTTTTAACTTTTTTGAAAAGCTAGTAGGGGTTGTTCACTGTGTTAAATATCAGTTCTTAATAGATGCCTTGCACATCTTAAATCTGTTTCTTGGTCCAGACACCAAAGTTTAAAAAATGTTAATCTCCTTGCTTTTTCAGAGCTTAATGATCTGCTCTTATTTTATTTACCTATATTGCTGCACCAATACATCTTTAGCATGCATGATGTAGGACACTGTACCTAGAGGCTGTCTAAAAGGTTTGGAAGTGTTTATATGGCAATAAGTCTGATAATTCCTTCAGGACAGCATCTTGGAAATGTCTTTAAGCAGGTTGTCAGTGAATAAAAGATATGTTGTCCTGTTGGGCCTATGGCCATCAAAGCCCAATTATTGACATGGGAAAAACAATGGATGGCTGATGAGCTGTTACCACAGGCACCATAATCACTCCATCTTTTGCTCTATCTCTCTGTTTCAGCTCTGCTACACTGCCCATCACTTTCCGATGTCTTGAAGAAAACAACCACGTTGATAAACGAGTGACACGCTTCGTCCTTCCTGTGGGAGCCACCATCAACATGGATGGGACTGCCCTGTATGAGGCTGTGGCGGCCATCTTTATCGCTCAAGTAAATGACATGGACCTAAACTTTGGGCAGATTCTCACCATCAGGTTAAATATTTTTTACTTATATCTAACACTAAAATACAAGACATGAATGAAAGAGTGGAATCAATATTTAATCAAAATGGTCATATTTTTTCTTTTGACAATTTGTTTTTTATCATAGTATAAAACTTTTGTATAATATTACTGATTAAAAAGATCAATAATATAGACAATATAATTCCTAAATGCCGGAATGCCTGTTGTAGACTAAAAAACTCATTAAACTAAGCCTAATGTATGTTGTATTTTTTAAGCTATACCCCTCAAAGATTTGTGTCATTATTCTACAAATGTTTTCTATAACACCTAGTTAAACTTTTTTTTGTTCTCGTTGAACTACAATTATTCATTTGTTATTGTGATTATAGAATAGAATAGAAAATCTCTTTATTGTCCCACAATGGGGAAATTGTGGTGTTTACAGCAGCAAAAGGTTAGTAGAAGTGGTCACACAATATGCATGTTAGAAAAGTGTATAAAAACAACATTTAGGGACATGAAACAATAGAGTGTTGTATGGGTTCAGTGTTTTTACAATATAAATACTCTGTACCTGGAGAATAAAAAAATCAATAACAGCTGTGGACATGCTTACAGTAATGGATATGTGAAAAATAGCAGCAACACCAGAGATGTGCAAAAAAATGACAGAAGCATGTTATTTAACTGACTAAGACAGAAACTGCAAAAATCTGCATCAATGTAACAACTTATTGAGGTTGTTATTTTTTTAAAAGCATGGATATTTGAATAAAAACTACAACATTGTATGACTGATAAAATGATTTCTAGTAGAAATTTAGGTTATATCAGTCTATTGGAAGTCAACAAACTTTCCAAATAAAGTGAACAAGAAGAACATGTAAAGTGAAAAAGAAAATCCAGATTTAGTTGCTTTATCTTCTTAACTAAAGGTTTGTTCTACTTTCTTACAAAGACAAACTGACTGTATAATATGATTTTCAACAAGATATTGCATTAGTTATGTTTTCTCATTAAAGTATCCTAAATGTGGAGTGAATGTGTAACACATTTGTAGTAGGTTGTGTAAAAATACCATGTTTGGTTTCATCAAGCTACTACTCCCACTAGGAGTGCACATGAGCTGTGTGTCTCTGTATTGAATGTCTCCACTCTCTTCTCCATCTCTCCCACCTCCCACTCAGTATCACAGCAACGGCTGCCAGCATCGGAGCAGCAGGCATCCCTCAGGCTGGCCTGGTGACCATGGTGATCGTATTGACATCGGTGGGGCTGCCCACAGAGGACATAACACTGATCATCGCCGTGGATTGGTTCTTGTGAGTCCCCATAAATGTCAGCTTGACAGCGATTGGTTTGGGACTGTGTCAGCCTAAATGTCATTGTAGAGCTTCATAGAGCTCAGAAGCTGCACATCTTCAAAGGTTATTGATACATAATGCAGAGCAACCGATTAGAATGCCCGGGAGGATATTTGGAGTTATTAAATGTCGATGTTTTTGGTCACCCAGGCATACTCAGTTTTATTGTGTTGAGGGGACTTGATAAGAAAAAAACCCAACAATTCAATTGACTTGACTAAAGATACATTTGTCCAGTACAAGGTTAGGAATGCTCTGTTTAGTGTGAGATACTCCAGTCCGGGTTTGCTTAGTCTCATGTTTTAGACTCAACCACAGATTTAATATAGTTACAGTAGCAGCAATTCAAAATGGCCCTTCCCAGTCAAACACCAGCTGAATGGCAGCCCACTTCCCTGCAACTCCCAGCAGAATCCCTTCCAACTTCCAGCCACTGGAGTGACCCCTTCCTTCTCCTGGGTGTGCATATTTTTTTACTCTCCACCCTTTCACTTAATTACAGGGAGATGGAGCTTCTCTTTAGAGCTCAATGTCCACAAATCATGACAGAAAGAATATTTTAGTACAAAGATAGATGTTTAAAAAGGAATTGTAGGGGACCAGCCAAGGACCAGCCAAAGGCCCATCAAGGAAAGTGGGGACATTTTGAATGGCTACTACTGTACGAAATGAAGTAACTATTAAATTTGGCTCAGCTAGGAAAGGAAGACCAATTACACCACAGCCTTTTCTTATAAAGTACTTATGCAGTGTGCAGCAACGGGGGGTGGGGGGGTGGGGGGTGTTAGGGGGTTTACCATCTCTCTATTTTGTCTCTAGCTTGTTGTGCCATCTTTTGCGAGCTCCCACCTTACCCACAGATTTCGATATGCTGGTTCTAAACATTTATTTATTTATTTTATTAATTTTTTTATATATATTTACTTTTTATACAGTGTCCTGTCTGGCAATGTGGCAATAAGGATAATTGTCTTGATGCCAAAAAAGAGCCCAACAGATTTTACTTTCAGAAGTGGAGCAGTACGGCTATCGCCATAGTGTTCCACATGTTTTATGCATATTAATTGCTGTATTATAATTCACGGTAAGAGTATCACAGATTTTTTGGACACTGCAATGTAAATAGAGCAGGAAAGGAAAATCAGGAGAAAAAAAAAAGGAGAAAAAGATTAAAGAAAGAGGAGATAACAGGGAGATAATGATAAAACATTTTCAGTCTGCTTCATCACCTGCAAAGAGATGTAAAAAGAACAGCACAACCAACAGATATAGTATAAGAGATACAATAAAGTATCACCTTGATACTATGGCTGAAGTATAAGTAGTATTATTTAATCTCACATCTATACTGTGGTAGCTGAAGATAAAAAATATGGGCTTCCTATATGGAAGTGAATCTCTGAGTACCAGGATCCAAGCACCTGTAGTTGTTTGTGAGAGTGCACTTGTGCATGTAAAGTTTATCCAAAAATAAATGCTCAATAGTTGTTGTGAAGAGCTGAAGACGCGCCCCTCCAGAGGGTAATCCGACCCCCCACCAAGGGAGGAGAAGATAGGACCCCGAGGAAATTCCCCAGCCACCACAAAGGTAGAGCCCCCGGGAGCTACGGGGACGAGTCTGCAGGCTCCACTGGCAGCCAGCCACCCCGAAGTGGATCCGGCCATGGGCCTTAAGGGACCCAGACAGCCAGGAATATGCCAGTACCAGCCTGGGCATCCACCCCTAAACACCGAGCACCCCCAATGCACCCGCGAGCCCAGGCGCCAGCCAGCGGAGGGAGAACAGGACGGGGGAAATGTGCTCCACACTTGGCAGAGACATGAGATGTTCTTGGGAGAGGCAGCAGTTCAGACCCCAACCTGACAAACACAACAACTACAAAAAAATACAGTCTCAATCACGCCTACCTGCCCTAGTGCCCCCACTTGCAACACACAGTCTCTGTGAGGAGGAACAAACAAAAAAAAAAAAAAAACACGGGCGCAGATTCACACATAACACTCACATCCAATAATCCCAGGACCGAGGACCCAGCAGTGCCGGTGGCCGGTCCCCGGATTACCGGATGGCCCAATAGGTAAACCTAACACCCAGATAGGAGGGAGGAGAGCGGTGTCACCGCCAAACTAACCCATCTAGTTCCTGCTTCGGACCCGGCCCATCGCCCTGCACCCGGACCAGACGACCCCCAGTAAAAGCCCCCCCCAGGGACGGGTCCCACATGTCCCGCACAGGCCACCCAGCCAGGGACCAATCCGTTATGGTTTCTGTGCCAACAAATATTGTCAGAAAGGGATTTAGTACCTTTACAATGAGCAGGACCAGTTCTACAGGCCTTATCTATCCTCCCATCTAGAACCGTCCATGTTAATGTACTTGCCTTCTTTTATTTATACCATCTGATATTTTCTCATTCTGTGAATATTACAGAGATCGCTTGCGCACCACTACCAATGTACTGGGTGATTCCCTTGGTGCCGGCATCGTGGAATACCTTTCACGTGAAGAACTGCAGAATCAAGATGCTGATTTGCATAACTCTGTGATTGAGGAGAACGAGAAGCCGTATCAACTCATCTGCCAGGACAATGACATCCTCAACCACCTGAACAGTGAGACCACAATGTGAGGACAGCTGTTTTCACTTGACAGAACTTTATAAATAAATAACATTTTACAGAGGGTGAGAGTTTTTGACCTAAAGAAGTTTCTAAAGGAAGTGATAAATGAAATATATCAACTAGCGGCATCTTGTGCCATAACTGCAATAAGGCTTTCTTAAAAAAATACTGATCCTATCCTAGAAAGCTAAGGTAACATAAATTGGATGCAAATGATGTGCAGTTTACATTCAGAAAAATGTATTTTATTACTATAAAAACATACTATGATTATTGCTTTTCTGACAGATTTTAGCCTGTATTTGGATGAATTATATGGTTTATAATCTATGAACTTCAGATATTGGGAATTTGTTGTTTCTTTTTCTTCCTTATAGCATGACATTCAAGCATTGAATCAATTTCTTTACTAGGATCAGCACTTACTACCAACATGACTTCCTTTATAAAGTCTTTTTCTTTTTTAATTCTCTTATATTGACTACCTCTCCTATGGTAGTTTTATGAGTTTCCACAAAACACTCATTTACAGCAGATTGTAAATATGAATATAAAATTAGATTTCAGTTTCCTTACATAACTTAAATCAAAGACTTTGGATGTACTGGACTGTTTTACACTTAAAAAGTGTGTAGTAACTTGATACTATAGTGTTTTTTTGTTTTGTTTTTTTGTTTCTTTTAGATATTTTTTGATGTCCAATATTTATTTGGTGCTATTGTAACCCTGTCATTTTACAAGATTGGCTTCTGCAAAAATGCTTGAACTGTTATTTTTAACTAAGATTGTGCAGGTTTTCATTATTTCCTGTATTTAAGTATGCCATTCTATTATGTAAACCAGTAACTTATCATCATTACATGAAAACTGAAACATGAAATCTGCATTGACTGTTCTAGGTTTGTAGGAAAGTACTGTGAAGAAACATTGTGAAGGCTTTAAAGATTCTAATATGAATTTGCTTTTATGTCCTGTGGCTATAACAGCAAGTGAATTTAGGCTTACCTGCCCATGTGCAAGGCTTGTCCAGAAATAAAGTTTGGCTTTAATGCTCGATGTTACTTAATGAAAAATTATTTTCTATGGAAGAGCGGCTATATGACTAAATGGAAACTGTATGAAAAATGTGATGAATAAATGTCTCAGGAAATGAAATGTTTTTGTCATTATTGTGATTGTGGCTACCCCTTGTGGAGGATGCTATCCATAAGGTACTGTTTGCTTTCCTTTAGAATAACTCAGGATATAAAGCTATAGGTTAATAAACTCTACACATTTACACTTAATAATTTTTTATTAGGATCCATTATATTAACTTAATAAACAACTCTATCTAACCAACAAAAAATGCATTATAATTAAAAAAGCAGACAGACAGAATAAATCAGTGCACCTGTCTCAGTTTGTTGTTCTTTTCTTATGAACCTCTTGCAAATATTTTCCTTTTGAGTGTCACATTTTCTATCATTTTTAAACAAGCATTGATTTCGTCCTACTCTGGCTTCCTATAACTGTAGAAAAATATATTTTCAGCTATTCTCAGCAAATCCAAAAATATGTGGATTGAAAATAGACAGTGGTGCTTTGAAAGATATTCATTTCCCTTCATGATATTTCATATTTTTTCACAATGTATTATACATGATATACAAGCACAAAGCATACTAAAGGGTACATACTTTTCATATTATTTCAAAATAATACATGAGAAGTATTGTTTTGATTCAACTAGTCTAGTTAATTACTTTGTAAAAACACAATTTTTTGTCTTTATAGGTGCAAATATCAGGACATACTACTCTTTCAGTTTGCCCATCTAAATTTATGTTTTTTTTCCCCTTTCTGACTAGCAAAATGCTGTATTCCTGGTCTTCATAATGCATCTTTATTTATACTTATACCAATACACATAAGTTGCTGGTTCTGTGTAAATTGGGCTAAATTATTCGTAAAATAATTGAAATACCGGGTATAATTGAACTCTACAAATCTGTCTTTAAAATTCTGCTCTTCTCTTTAGTGGTTTGACAAAGATTTGAATTGATGAACTGTATATGATAGCAGTATCATTGGTGGAGGAAGTTCATCCTTCTACTTTCTGTAAGTACCTGAGTTGTTTCAAATCTGTGAGGTACCATAGCCCTGAAGTGCAAACCACATCAACAAATCTTTAATCACAACTACAAATTCAAAAACACAACACATAAAAATACACAATGGCATTAAATTGAAGCAAACAAAAAAAGGGCAACAATATATTTAGAACCACAACAACATATACAAAACCCCCAACATATATATATAAAAAAAAAATTTCATTTACGTGACAAAAAGTAAATTAAAGTTACAGAGCGTCAGCATTTTCAGAATCACAATGACATTAATGTACTGGAGAAGGAAGATATTAATAGGAAACTTGAGACCTAAGGCACCGTTTTAAACCGGAGGTAATTCTGCTTATGCTTGTTCATTCATAAATAATATTTTGGTAGTGTTTTGCAATGTTTATTTCAAAGAAAATTTTGGCAAGTTCAAAAAATGCAAAATATTTTGTATTTTGTCCCTAATATTTCAGGCAGGGTCAAAGCTACAATGGTGCTGACACCAGAAAACCATTCTATGACATCTTACCTTTACAGAGGTACCAAAAGCTTCTTCTTAAATCTAATAGCTGTGAGGCTATAAGTGATTTACTTTTTTGTGTTTTTGTCAGGCAGAAATTTATTTATACCCCCTGAGGGTGTAAGAGGCTAACAGTGTATGAGGAGCTCTCAAAGCAGACTTTGTTTATATTTTCATTGCAAATACCCTTTGTGTTTTACAGTGAGACAAAAAAGTATTTAGTTAGCCACCAATTGTGCAAGTTTTTCTGCTTAAACAGATGGGAGGGTGTAATTTTCATTATGGGTACACTTCAACTGATGTTGTTGATATGACAGAAGTACCACATTTTCTAAAGTCTTCATCAGATTTGCACACAGTGTTGCTGGTGTTTTGGCCCTTATCTCCATGCAGCTCTTCTCTAGAGCAGTGATGTTTTGGGGCTGTTCATTGGGGTACATATAAAATTTTAATTCCTTCCACAAATTTCATAAGGGGTTGAGGTCTGTAGACTAGCTAATGTAGGTCATTCCAGGACTTTGAAATGCTGTTTACAGAGCCACTCTTTCAGATGGTGTGTTTGGAATCATTGTCATGCTGGAAGACCCAGCCCAGTTACTACTTTAGTGCTTTCATTGATGAAAGAGGTTTAGGCTCAAAATATCATGATTCACTCTTCTGTTAACATGGGTTAGCCATCTTGTTCCCTTTGCAGAAAAACAGACCCAAAGCATGATGTTTCCACCTCCATGCTTCACAATGGCTATGGTATCTCAATCTGAAAAACTCACACCAAGAGAAAAGACAATTAGAAAAAAATGTATTGATACAATTACTTTGTCTTTGGCGTTTAGATGTTGGTAGGAAACATCGGTTTAATTTTGATAGATATGCATGAACAGGAGCAAAGAATAACTCTGTTTCCCCCCCAGGCCTGAAACTGGTGGTGGAGTGGAGATAGATGAAGTTGGTCAGTCTGTAGACTGCTGGTTAGCGAGATGGTCTGCTGAGCTTTATGGGGAGATCCAGTGGACTGTGTGAGCTGATACTAGAGCTTCACTCAGGGACCTGGAAGATGGATGTCTAGTTTGGATAACACAGGTTGGGAGAACCTGTCCATGATGAGCAAGCATGAAGCGACGGTGGAGAGGAAAAACTACCCGTTGGGAAGAAACCTCTGGCAGAACCAGGCTCAACATGGTGGTCTTCTGCCGGATCGGTTGAGATGAGACAGGGAACGCAGTAAGAGCCCGGGAGGAATGACACTCTGATGAAGCTTTAGCTACGATGGTGGAGGAGGGGCTGGAGGTGGGTTGAAACAAGGTCATCTGAATGCAGTAAGATAGCGCATCCACCACCTGCACACAGGAGCAGACAGGTGCGTATCAGAGGCCTTTTAAGATGAATTTTGGATGCCGATTGGCTTTTGTGAAGCTGTGGTTCAAAGCTGATTGGCTGTATTGCAGGTGGATGTAGGAGAGCAATCAGTTTTTTCAGTTGAACTTCTGCCTATGCTCCTTTTTTGGGATGAAACTCAGCAGTCATATTCTAGTCTAAAGGGTTGAGTTGAGTTTGTGCCAAAATGTTATTTTTGGTCCATATAATCTCTGGCAAATTAAGATGGGCCAGGAAATGTATTGGTTTAACCAAGGGGACACTAACATGTCCAGCAAGCCTGATAAGATGTATACACGCAAGACGTATCAGCTTCTTCTCTGTATGTGGGTCTCTCCTAGAGGCCTAACTTCTTCCCTTTGTGTGAACTCTTCATATCATTTTCTGTCTGTTAATTTTGAAAATAAAGTCTATAAGTGCAGCATACAAATGAGTCTCATTGGCAAGTAACATACCATCTGGGTACAGTTTTTTAAGCTGCTAAATGCTTCTGTTTGTTAATAATAAATCACTAATGCTGACAAGGATTTGTTTAATCATTCACGTTGGTTTGACCAACATCCAGGACAATAGAAAAGTACAAGGAAATCAATAATGAATTTAGTAGAATTGAATATTTACACAGGCTGGGGAAGTTTTCTTCTTGTAGGCATTTTTAAATTGAGATTCCACATTGTCTGTTTAACCAATTCTATGTAATACAAAATTATTCTAATATCCTACCTCTAAATATCTGTGGGGATATTTAAAAAAATCCCAACAATAAACTGAGGTTAACCTCAGAATTTCAGCCAAGAAAGAAGGATCTGCCAGTCAGTACCAGCCCCACCCAGTTGGATCAGGCTTCCTGCAGCTTAGCTGTTCCTCTGAGTTATTTCTCCTTTTCCTTGTTAAATCCGGAACTTACAGAGTGGCTTGGGTTTTGAATGTAGCATTAGCAAAATTTGCATTTACAATGTTTTTTCTTACCACAGTTTCCCAGTCTATTGCAGAATAGGTAAAAAGTTGCAAAAGCAGCAACACTAACCGATTAACCTGCAGGGGAGTCCATGATTGTTGGAATCACCCCGTATGGTGGGATAGAGACCGACGTGATTAAAGCAAGGCGGGCTAATGTTACTGTAGCACCCTGCCTCATTTTTTGGAATTTGTGCCTTTAGACTCCAATAAAATCCAGCCTACTTACACTCTTCAGATTGTTTGGCAGATTTTAACTGAGGCCCAAATACCTACACACTAGTTTTAACATGAAAAGAGAACACATCCACCTAATATCTCCTGCATCTCTAGTGAAGCTTAAGATCCTTCTGCTTCTCAGACCTTTTTCTGGATTCTTTCCATATGCGTCTCTCCGTTTCAGTCCACATGTGTCCCCCTTTCTGTTTTACCTGTGATTGCCTTCCTTCTCAGGTAAATCTGGCCTGCTTTTCAGCTTGTAAGCTTCCCTTCATTTGTACTCTTATGACAAACCTCCTCACGGTAGACTGTATGAGCATGTACTAAACATAAAGCCCCCCCTCAATAAAAGAAAAACACACAAAATCAGTTTTGGTTAATGTTACAGTTTGATTTATAAAATAATTTGCTTGATATACAGTGCATTCCTCTACATCACAATGTTTTTTGTGCTTCACACATATTA